AGACATCAGTGAGACATAAAAATGTGTACTAAAAAATGTATAAGATAACAAATGAATTGTTTCGACACATATACTTTCCCAAGCTAACCATTGATCAGATTTCGACCAGTATTGACTAATATTTATATAGATTAATTCGATTGTATAAGGAACAAATGCAGGTATAGCAACAAGTGTTTGCCATAATAACATATGAGTCAATTGTTTGTCTGTTTTTCGAAGAAATTTTAAATTTGGTGCAGATCTACTAGTATGTTCAGTATGAACATGTACTATTTGTCTTTGAATAGTATTTCGAACATTTCTCATAAGTGAATATGCTAATATAAATATAATTATCGGTGGACATAATCCTGATACAATAGCTTCGAAATAATTATCAAAAATTGCATAAACTCCATCTTGAGCTATACATTGTCCAGTGAATGTACTATAAAATATAAATCGATGACAAGATACTAAAAACCAAATGATTGTACAAACTAATATAAGTTTATAAGCAAGATTAATTTGACCACTCAATTGTCTATATACTAAAATAAATTTTAATAATAATATTAACATAAACATATGAATTTTACCCGGTGAACGATGTGTTGATAAAAGTCGATCGAGTGATGCAAATATAAATAGATTTATTGCAAGTAAATTAATATATTGTGATGCAAAATAACGAAGTCTACAAATGACATCATATCGATTTAGAAGAGGTATTTGAAAACCTTTCTGAAGTGTACGTGTTAAAAGTACAAAATTAAAAAAGAAAATTAGAACAAATGCTTCTGCTAATAAATAAATAGTACATGCACGATTACGAAATGATCGAGAAGAAAATACAATAATATTGCCAATTGTACTTATATTTCCTGTAATTAATATAAAACAACCTAACCAAATATTCAGTTGATATGGTGCTATTAATATTGCATTGCTAATACTACTTTCAGTTGTAATATTCATACCGAGAAATATTATAGAAAAGAAAGGTTGACATACTTGCTATTTTTACTATAAATCGTCTTCATATTTTCTGATATTTTTTTTTATAATTCTCTCATGAGCTCTCCTATAGTTGTTTATAGAAAGAAACAACAATTTTTTGTAATCCAATTCTCAATAGTCATTTAGTTTATCATTCAAGCATTAAACTTATTTTCATCTTAATTCTACCTATAATAATAACAAAAATCAATTCATTTATTAATCGTTCATATATGCTATCGTCATATGAAATATTTATTCTATGGTGGTGAAGTAGTAGAAAAAACATTATCGATAATGTCTTTTTGATGGGAATATAGAATAAGATTAATTTGACTTCATTTGTTTTTGCCAGCAACTGAAATTAAGAAATGTTAAAAGATTAATGACTATAAAGGAAGAAAGAGTTTTAAGAAAAAAAAATAACAATGTGGAAGAGAATCACATGATTCGATAAATATGAACTGAATTATCAGAATTGTAGGTTAACCTATTAAAAATCATATATATATATAGTTTCATTGACTAAAACACTTGCACTGTTGTATATTTATCCTTGTAGAAACATTCACATACAAAAATGAATATTCTCAATCAATTATCGAATATATTGTTTCATTTTTCATTCAGTTAGACCGAAATGTATCTTCAATGTATGAAAATACGAATAAATATTACATTTTAGTAAAACCTATGTTTTCTTATTATTGAAAATGTATTTAAATTATCTACACTACTTACAAGATCTAAACACAACTGGATTGTGCGATAATATAGTTCATAACACAAAATATTGAATGTTAAATAATTTCATCTAATCATTAGCTACTAATAAGAAAAATTGTTCAAATAAAATTTTCTAATTATCCCAGGCCAAAAAAACAGACATACGATCGTGTCAGATATTGCAAGATCTGACGCGTATAAGATTTTTCATATGATCTTGATATAAAATCGGACAATCAAGTTCCTATTCGATCGAACTGAGTGTTGCTTACAAGATTTTATAAGATCCGATATGAACCAGACCAGATGAAACATATAATATAACGAAATGTCAGATCTTGTACGATCATATATGTTTTCTATTTTATTCGACAATTGCTAATATAATGATTTCATTGTGATATATATAGTGTACAATGAATGAAATGGCACTGCCAATTCACAGTAGTGAGGTAGTAAAACGAAATTAAACTTGATAGGTAAACATCGTTAAATCACTAATTTATCTCTGAAATTTGTGTAAAATACATTGAAGCGATAAAAGATCGATACTATGCTGCAACGACCTCTCTGAAAACCCTTTACATTTGTCTATAAAATGCGTATGCGTCAAATTAAAACAAAACTTATCGCTGACTAGAAATTACAAATAGAGAAAAAAATATTTGTTTTTATTAACAGATATTGCAACAGGTGAAATTTTACAAAAAGGATTTTGAATATTGACTAAGAGTTTAATCTACCTCGGGAAAGTTCAGCGTTCTTTAACACATTCATTGATTATTAAAATCTCTGCTCATTTTGGTTTATTTTATGATGTTAGACTATCCTGGCATTATGGTGCAGTCTTTATTACTATTACAAATAATGAAAAAAATGTAAGCTAAGCTAATAACAAATAAAAACGGTCCATCAAATAAAATCTTAATTTCTTGTCTTCTACCATAACTTTTAGATCTCTGAAAATTCAATGATAATAGGCTGTAAAAAACCGCTGTAGTTTTTTTTAGATATCACACGGCAGAGACAATGAACGTTTTGCACCATATCAGCTTAAATACAGATGTTAATCATTATTAAAATAAAATCTTTGTTTCACTCATTTGTTTCTATAGAGATATCTTTAGATCTTTGTTTTCCTTCCTTATTTATTATATAGATATATTTACACGTTTATTTTGGTGCTTTATAGTGAAAATATATATAGATGTAATGAAGGATATTTCTGTCGTCTAGTAGCAAAATGAGTGTCTGTCATTTATTGATTTTAAACTTTCTATTACTTCTTACGTTGGTGATTGATATTTTATTCATGTTATTGTTGAATGAAAACTGCATTTTTTTATGAGTAAAATTGCCAGGTCAATCAGTCTCAGATTCTTGTATAATCATGTATGATATATTGTGAAGATCAGGTATGAGTATATAAGATCAGTTTCTCAGTTCTGATACAAAGCCTATTTAAAGAATTAACGTAAGAAATCAGGAACGACGATTTTGCGTCAGATTTTTCGTATGATCTTGTATGATCATACAAGAATCTGAGATTGATCTTATTATCTGATTGATTGACCTGGGTATGCTAAATAACAATTTGCCAATTATTGTTTCAAAAACTATGTAATGCATAATCTATTTTATCATTTTCATTCTAGTGAATTATAATTACTTATGTGGCGCTAAATGCACTAATTGAGTTATAGAAGATGAATATAGCTTAATTGTTTGCCAGATTTGAAAATTTTCAAAATGAAATATCAAGTAAGTTGAGATCGTTCTTGTATATTAAGCTTATGATCAATACTACTATTTGGCCTAATTATCACATCAGTTTAAATTTCATTGATTAGAAAAGTCTCCAAAGGATTTGGCAAAATAATAATAATTCATATCAGTCACTTTAGATTAGAGAATTAACGATAGAACACGATAAAAATGTTAGTTCTGTACTGTACTATATTCAACTCGACCTCCACGTACACATATATACATATAACCATTATTTAACAAACTATGAGAACTCAAAACTAATCATAGAACTTGATAATATTGTCAATTGATACTATATATATACTTAAGCATTTTCTTCGTCTTACCTATACGCTAACTAATCCTTTGATCATATTACAAAAATCTTCAGTAGTGCATGTCTCTAATAATTTCTATTTTGTTTCAGAAGAACGATGAAAAAAAAATTCTATATAATAATTTTGTTTTAGTTTGTATTCGAAGACATGTAAGATTCTTTTTTTTGCTTAGAAGAGTTCTGATTAAAATAAAAGTTCATTTTGTAGTCGAGAAATAGAAGAAAATAAATTAATATTCTTACTTTGAGTAAGTTTTTTTTCTATATATGTCATATAGTTGATCTTTCTTATTTTATTGTAGTAATGAGGACTTTTGTGAAGAATTGACTATTGTTTATTTAGTAGAAACACATATTCGATAACTGATTATGAATGCAATGAAAGACATCAACAATATTTAAAGAATTCGGTAAGAAACAAAGATCAATGAGACGATTTTAAACATTTTTCAGTAAATTCTATTTCGATCGATATTCTCAGAATTATATCGTTGATTGAGAATGACACTTAATGTTTTACTGTATTTTGAAAAAGTAAAGTAAACTACTTTATGTTTATTGTATCAAATAAAAGATTTAATTTAGTAGAATTAAGTGAATATACTTCATTTGAAAGATGTAACTAGAGATATTAACACATGAAAATATATTTATAAATAATTAAAATGCCACATACATTTACCAGATCTTTTCTTTCTATATTATAATGAAAAAAAGAAAAGTTGAACATAAGCTTCGGGGAATATATTATTTTGAGTTCATTTCGTTTGTCCTGTTTGCATTTATATTTCTTTTTTCTTTCTTTTCATATGCAAAAAAAAGACCAGGCAATGTAATCACCATCATCAATTCCTTTTTACTTGTATGAAGAAGGAAACCTGTAAAAAGACATACTCATGTGCATCTACTTGAAATTTTTCTTTTTCTTTTTCTCTTCATTCATAATATTATTCGATACATTGCCTCAATTACAGTTCAACATATGCATATTTAGATCAAAATTATACCATCATGTTTGTCTTCAGAATAATACGACATAGTAAACGTTCAAATTCAACAATCACCCTCATAATAGTTACAGTTTGCTCGTTTCTGTTTACTGTATATTTATATCGTCAACGTTCAACTCGAAATATTCCATCATCGATCATTGTAAAATCAGACACGTTAGTTTCTTCAATTGCTGTAACAACAGAAAAAAATATCTCAACAGGTAATATTATTCATTTGAATTTAATCCGTAAAAGAAATAGTATTTTAAGGATAGTTTACATGATATAGTAGATAAATCAAATTGTTCTAATAACTAATCATTCTCTTTTATAGAACAATCTCTACATAAACAAGAATCATCAAAGACTATTGAAACAAATGCTTTTGATAAATATTCAAGTGAGGAACATCTTCTTTCACTACTTACTCAATATTCAAATACATTCAAACAAGTTATTATAACGATAATTGGTGGTGATAGTTATTCATTATTTGCTTGGGATTGGTATGAAAGAATGTATGAAATATCAAATATTACAAATAAATGTCATTGTTTTGTTGTTGCTATGGATGAAATTGCTGTTATATTAGCTGTAAAACAAGGTGTACCTGTATATTATTCTACATTTACATTTGAACAACAGATGAATTGGATAAATAGTATCGAAGCAAGACAACATTCTCTATATCGTGTTGGTCATGCAAAATTTGATACAACTGCTAAGATCATACGAATGGGTTATTCAGTTATTTTAAGTGAAATGGATGTTTTTTGGTATAAAAATATTGGATTTTTCAACGAAAAAAAAACATCAATAAATTTCATTTATTTTTAGGAGAGCTAATCCATTAGATCATTTAAAACAGCCAATTGATGCATATGATCTGCAAATAAGTGATCATTTCGGTGCACATCCACGAGTTAATATCGGTATATTTTTTGTTCAATCTACAAATAAATCGATAGAATTCATGTCTTATGCTGCCGATTTTTGGTTACGGTATGGCAAAGGTGCTTATTTATCGGATCAACGTGTACTTGATGCTTTATTGAAAAATTATGATCATATTGATAAAACATATTTACAAGTACTAAAACCAATTCCATCATTAAACTGGACAACACACGTGTTTGGATCTCATTTTTCACATTTGATGACGGATGGTAGTGCTTTTACATTATTTGATCGTGCAGAACAGCTTGGAATACGATCAAAAAAATATTATGGTGATCAAAATACAAAATATTTTACAGTAACAGTCTCAAATACGTAAGAAACAATTTAATGAATTTTTTTTCTAATGTTTTTTTAATTTTTATAGTGATATGACAATTAATAATCGAAATCTTCTTATTCGTGCTTTACTTATCTTACAACATACACATCTAAAAAATCGTATACTTATTTTACCAGCTTTTTCACATAATTTAACTACTATTAAACTTAGATCTCAACTTGATGGGAAGAAATTTCTTCTTTATTGGTCTGAGAAACATATTCGTTTACCAATTTTTCTTCATCATCCTAAAACTCGTTCAATACCTGTTATAAATTTAACATTATCATCGAATAAAACATATGAAGATATAAATGGAATATTAAATTTTACTATCGATTCCATACCACTTAATTTACTAGCACCTTCACCACAATTTGAAGTATTTATTCGAGATTCTCTTTTATGGTGCTCACCACCAATCGATGGTGGTACAGGATGGTGTATTCATCATCCAAGAGATTATGGTGCAACAATGGAAATATTATTTGCTTGTCGAGGTGATCCATATCCACCATGTGCAAATAAAACAGAAAAAAATGAACAATTTCTTTATCGACCATATGAATAGTAAATAAACTAAATTGTTGTCTTTTATTGGTGATATAATAAAGATAAATATCAATTTTTTATTTATAGATTATAAATTTATTTTATCTTTTTTTGCAAGATGCACAATTAAGATCATTACAGGATCTCTCCCTTTTTTCAAAACTATATCAGAATGCTCTTCTCTAATAATTGATGAAAGAGAATATTTATTTACTTAACAATAACATAGAAATTGATTTCTTCTGTAATAACAGGAAGGAGAAATTGTCGTGGGTGTTTCACTTGTCTCATTCGTCTTAATTCATATTTGAGAATAAGTAGGTGTGGGTGTGTTCTATTGCAGATTTTCTGCTACCGACACCCACACCCACACCCTTTTTTCTCACGTCTAGGTCGGATATGGGACCAAAAGCCGCGGATTCGCAGCTCTCTACTCTCATCTCGTAGTATGCTAAAAAAAATTTCGTATACATTGAAAACATTGTGCAGAGAATTTTATGAATAATGAAAAATAAGAAAAAAGCAAAAATTTATTCCGTTTAAACAAACAGGTCCACAAGTTGACCAAAAGGATGTGATGTCGCATCTTCGCTAGTCAAATGTGTCTCTGCTGACTTCTCATAATGTTATTTTATAGATATTCATCGCAGGTCAGCGCTACAATTATGATGCACACACCACAGATTAAAACTAGTAGGTAACCACCATAAAGAATGAGCCAAAATATATAAATTCCACGATCATACGACGGTAAATTTCCTGCACGTAATTCAAGAGCACAGAATACAATTGTCGTTATTGTTATCATGAATGAGGATATGAAAAATAAATTTGCACAGATAGCAACATACCCTCTACCCAGTTTTGTAGATGGAAATTCATCATCTTTACTGTGATCGTCTGAAACGAGGCGAGGAAAATCAGTTACGGTTACAACACCAAGAGATAAATGTGCGGTTAATAGAAAATTGTAAAAAGATAAAGGTACTTTAAAACGTGAATCAGGATGAAGGAACAGAAAAAAGAATTGAAAAAATACAGGACTTCCGGACGTAAATTGTAAGAAATAATGTTTAAACATGAATCTCGTACACCAATGCGAAGATGAAGAATTTGATGAGGGCGTTGGTTTATTCCAGCCGGCCCATAAGGCAGTTCCATGTAAAATAAGTTGAAATACTAGACAGAAAATTATTATACCAAGAAATTCTTTTCCCTCTACTGATCCATTATTGTATAGCACATGATTGAATGAAACTAAATAAGCAATAAGTTCCCCAATTTCTACAAGAGCTAATATAATAGTAGTAATTACAAAATTTCTTGTTACAGATTTTCCAATAGTTGCAGCAATTGTAATACCAAAGAGTATATAAAAGAAAACGGTTTCGCCC